TACCCTTTCTCTTTCCATCCAGAACCCAGTGTAAAATTAGCTTATGAGTTCTGTTCGCGGGTTGTTTTTTATGTGAGAGGAGTTTTTTAAAAGCCCGAAGATGGTTTTTACTTGTTCTGAGTGGTAGCTTTGGTATATTTAGAGGCAATGACCCATAGGGGTCATTTATCTCTTTGGAGGCTGCAGAGCCAGGAAGTAGTAACTCAGGTCTCTGCAGTGGAGACTCCGGCCAGATGTAAATAAAGTGTGTGGTCAGAGGGAGGAGGACGTCTACTTCATCTCCTCGGAAGAGCTTTAAGAACAAACTTCAGCCTCAGATATTTCATGAAGAACCTGCTTCAAAGCCAAGGGGAGCCAGAGAAAGTTTAATTAGATGATTGCACAGGTCTTGTCCTGTGACGCTTAAGATGAGACAGGTTGTACTGAGGGTTAGAGACAAGACATCTAAATATCGAAATACATGGCTTCCATCCTACCCAGGTTTTCAAGGTTAGGCCTCAGGGCAGCAGGTGTGGTGGGCAGTAAACACCTTTTATGGAACACTGCTGCTTCACCCACATCGTTTTTCCTTCTGCCTTGCCATTTTACTCTTCCTCTAACTCTTTTTGTTGTTGTCCTTGCATCCTTGTTGTAATTGCATAAAATGGTAATAAATAAATAAATAAATAAATAAATAAATAAGTCTGCAGGGTTTCAGCCCTGCTTCTCCTTTGATTCACTGAACTGTTTTCAGTCAAGTCTTGCTTATCTTTACCTTTATGGAGTAAAGATGTTGAGATCCTTTGGCTGCTCTGAGATCAAACTACATAGATTTGCTTTCTGAGTTTTATTTACATTTGCTTTATCTTTTTTTTTTTTTTTGGATGTTGTTTTTGTTATTGATTTGGTTTTGTTATGAGAACCACAAGAAACTGCATGAGCCACTCCTTCTAATTGTTCTTCCACTTACCTCCACATCCTTTCCAGAAACAGTGATTAAAAGGTGCTTCCTACAAATTTTAATTCCTTGGTCCTCTACCTAGGAATTCATAATAGACTTTTTGTTAAAAGATTTCTTCTTCAACAAAGCATTTTATAGGAAGATACAACAAAACGAGGCTAACTTTCTGATAGGCAAGACTACCCGGAAGTCTGAGTCACATGAGTATTTTCATAACCAGAAACATGCAAAGCATGATTGTCTATCAGGGTTATGTAAAGTAGTAGATATCTGTCTTTGATTCCTCCACCTTCCTATTCTTACTCTTACGTGGTTAGCAAGTCAGCAGTCAGATGATAGGAAGGATGTATATTTTTGCTCATTGGCTGTACTAGCATCATGGTCAATGCAGATCTCTCTCTTTTTAAAAAAAAATATATTTTATTGATTTTTTACAGAGAGGAAGGGGGAGAGCTAGAAAGCTAGAAACAACGATGAGAGAGAAACATCGACCAGCCGCCTCCTTCAACCCCCTCCCCCCCACCGGGGATGTGCCCACAACCAAGGTACATGCCCTTGACCGGAATCGAACCTGGGACCTTTCAGTCTGCAGACCAACGCTCTACCACTGAGCCAAACCAGCTTCGGCATCAATGCAGATCTCTCTTGCTGGGTATTTCTAGGGCAAACTCTGCTATGAGCACCTGAATATAGCTGTTAATTTTGTTTGGACTTAATTCTGGGAAGATGCCTGCAGAGTCCCTGTAGTTCCCCTTCACTCCTGATTCTAATTGCAACCCACTGACTCTCCCAAAACAAGGAGGTGTTGGCCCAGCCCACAGGCAGTGGGGACTCTGGAGGTTCCTGGTGAGAAAGTGTGGTGGGACTGGTTGGAAGAGGGCCTGGGGGTCAGCTTACAAGAGTCTGGCAGGGCAGGGGAGAGACCCTGAATTGTTTGGATTCCCACCTCCCACTTGGAATTCTGGGCTTTCATATATCTCTGGATTGCCTGGGAGGAGGGGAGGATCAACATGAAAACATCAGTGTGTCCATTTTCCTTCTTTGCCAAAAGGGACTGATCTGGAATCTGAGGGCTTCCTGAATCTTGCTGAGGGTGAGCTGACATGTGGGCCAATTGCTCTCTCTCCGGAGTTGGGTGGGTGCTTTGTCCACCGTCACACTGACATGGATGGCTGCCCTGTCTGCTTTCCCTGGGCGTCAGCCATCTACGGAAGTCGGTGACTGTGACTCAAGGAGCAGATGAGAAAAACAACCTCTACTTAAAGAGATTCAACAGCTATAAAATGGGAGGAAAACCAAAGCAACCGGAATCCTTCCCTATCCACATAAAGCCACTCCAGGAGACAGATGGCGTTCGGAATGAAACTTAGTTAAGAGCTTGGAGGAAATTCTAGTAAAGCAGCAAAAAGACCTTGAGGAATGAAAACTTTTTATTTTTTTATTTTTCCAGACTGAAAAACTCAGCAGGAAAGAATGGTCTTTGTTGATGCTTGACTTTGTCACCTGGAAGATAAAGTGAATGAAACACTTGACCCCACAAAAATAAGTCCTAAACGATAGAAATGAGGAAGCACAGTAAAATAGCTTAGAGAGGAGTGGAGGAGACTCAATGTAAATAATCGGCACTCCACTGGGTTAAAAGGGTCAAGTTAAAACAGTACTTGCACGCACCATCTATGAGATGTTCCCGCTAAAGAAAACCTTGTGTCCACAGATTTAGAGCGCCCAGAATAGATGAGGGCAGTCCACGCCTAGAAACAATCTGACAAAGATTCCTAAATCATAGGGAAGCTTGCAAATCTGGAGGGGGAAAAAAAGCACAAAAGCCAGAAGCTGCTGGAATAATAGCAACAGACTACTAAGAGACTAGGTCTGTGAAAAGATGCATCCTTAAGTAGACAACAACAACAACAAAAAGTCACCTCATTCGTTAAGATGAAGTTCTGTTCCAGATACACCCCATCACAGTTTCTAATTTATTTCTTCCTGGCATTGTCACTCTTCAAAATTTTCATTAGTCGCCTTTCTCTGTGTTTATTTCCCGTCACCCCTGCTGGAATGCAAGATGCCTGAATTGTAGGGAGTTTATTTCCTGTGTCTTTAGCTCTTAAAACAACAAATATTAATGGACTGACTGTCGATTTTAACTTTTATAGTTTAAAATTTTTATACAAAAATATGTAATAGGAAAAATGTTTTTAATTTGAATTATTTTAAAAGTTAGCTCATGTCAGACTTTTACTAAGGAATGAATCTTATCTATTTACTTGAAGGTTTTTTTGTTTGTTTGTTTTTTTGGTTAAAAGAGAAGATTTTTTAAAGGTCTAAAGAAATTTTATTCAAAGATTTTAACCTCTTAGGAGAAATGAGAAAAACACTGTTCTGGTTATGTTGCATTGAAGTATTTCCTTTTCATCTCTTGTTAAATAAAACAAACAAACAAAAAAACCGAAAAAAAAAAACTTCAAGACAAGAATGCTGTCTTTCTAAAAACACATGCATTTGAGTATATATCCATTCAAATGAATGACTGCCATGTGGTGGAACTAAGTCCGTTCTTTGCTTTGTACACAATAATGCAGTGCCTCCCAGGTACCCACATGATGCTGGGTGCTGAGGTCCTCTGTACACTCATGGAGCTCGCAGTCTGGCATGTGAGCAGCAGTGCTGGGAGGCACGAGCCAGGCGGCAGCTCCCTGGCCTCCGGAGTCAGACAGACCGGAGCTGAATACCGTATCCGCCACCACGGAACGTGACATCACTCCTCTAATGCCCCGTTTTCTTTTTATAGCGAATGATGCTCATGATACTAAACATTCCATCAGTATTTTTATCCTTTGGCATAAAATGTGAATGAAAAGGGAGGAGAAGGAAGTGTCCTTCAGAAACCCTGATATGATGAGACAGTTCAATCTGAGCTGAGTTGTCGGGAGTTACTCCAAGAATAGCTGCTCTCAAGCCAAAAATAATAAAAATAAAATAAATAAATAAATAAATAAATAAATAAATAAATAAATAAATGGCGCTACAGAAGATACCAGCAGAGCCAAGGAAAGAATCTGTCAGAAAGCGGCTCATGAATAAAAGAAGCCTGTGGTTGGAAGTCTAACAAGACCGGAGTCCAGTGCACGATGCCAGCTGTGGAATCTCAGGCAAATCCCTAAAATTCTGAACCTAAGTGTGTCCTCTATATGACTGGAATCAGATACTCATGGCCTCTGCAAGGCATACACACAAACATGCAAATCCCTTCGAGCACTCACTAAATACTTAGCATTTATTATGTTCTTTTTAAAAAGAGAGACCAAAATGCACATGTGGTCCATGTCTCCACATGTGCAGTGCTGGGGAGTGCGTATTGGATGGATGGATGCATTGCAGTCTGATAACCTTTGAACTCTAACACTACTTAGTTGCACTTGTTTAGACGCATGCTCTTCAGGCATAAAATAGAAATCTATTCTGCACTGTAAAATTATGAATTAATATTCTGGCATTCAAGCCAATCTCTGTTCCACAACAGCCCCATATTAACTCATTGCTCAGCCAATTGGGAGTATGCAACTGTCCTCAGGGCGCACAGATCTTTCTGTCTGAGTGATGGCAGCCATTGAAGCTGAAAGAAAGGCATGCAAGTTCTCATTGCTGTCCATGAGCAGTTAGACTCCCTAAAAATTGGGGGTGGGGTGGGGCGCAGGGCCTTAATCTCTACTATGTGAGACCATCATCATGAACCCTCATCTGTTTGTAACCCATTCTTATGGAGGCTTTAATCATTTCCTGGGAGTTTGTCATATGTAATTAGCAAGGTTGAAAATCTTGCCTTCATTAACCTTGAAAGGCTATCAGTTACTATAGAAAGACTTAATGGAGCTGACTTTTTAAATAAAGTTAAAAAAAAAAAAAGGAATTTAGTCACTGTGTGTGTGTGTGTGTGTGTGTGTGTGTGTGTGTGTGTACGTGTGCAGTGACTAAATACATAGGCAGCTACTGCATATCAGACGGGGAACATTCCATTGGCACTTGCACTGCTAATGCCTCTGTGTCTTTGTCTCTGCAGAGCACAGTGATGTGGACCAGGAGACCGCGCTGGCTGGGGCACAGGGCTTCCTGGGCTGCCTGTCTGCAGTGCAGCTCAGCCACGTGGCCCCTCTGAAGGCTGCTCTGCACCCCGGCCGCTCCCCCCTGGTCACTGTCTCAGGGCACGTGACCGAGTCCAGCTGCGTGGCCCAGGCTGGCACCGACGCCACATCCAGGGAGAGGACACACTCCTTCGCAGGTAGCATATGTGTGTCATTACCCAGCCGCAAACACAGCTTGCCCATCGCCTTGAAAGCTTCCGATGCTGCTGTGATGCGACATTCTCCAGATGGCTTCTTCAAATTGCTTCCGTTTAACTTTCAGCTCCCTTCCCCATTTGTCTCTGGATTCACACTTCCGTATGCATGCGGGACATCGCGGTTGACATTTCTTAAGTTTAAAATAACAGAGATCCCACATTGACCTACATTCTGTTCTGCTTTAAAACGTTTATGACATTTTCAAAATTCTTTTTACTTGCATATATCACTCCCTCTTCCTCCCCCCCTCCCTTTTGTCCTTTTACTGCAGATCATTCTGGAACAAGAGATGACAGAGAGCCCCTAGCTAATGCTATCAGAAGTGACTCTGCGGTAATTGGAGGTAAGTGGATGAGCTCCTCTCTGGTTCTTATTGTCATTGCTAGGAATGGTGGGTCTTCAGCATTCTAGAAACTCTTTCAGGGTTAGGCACTGAATCCTTGGGGCCCGCCCGTGGGATTGGTTGATTATTTCTACTGGATTGTCCTATAGAGTATTCCTCAATGCCCAGCTTCCTTGGAGATTTTCAGAATAAATAATTGATCACTTTACTGAAGCACCACACTTAAAGAACAGATGCTAAACTGTGTTTTAAGGAATACAATTTAGCTGGACAATGGCCATCTACATTCCCTAGGTAATTCTGAATATATTTGAAGAAGTATCATTTTTGATGGCTTCTTGGACATGTCACTGCTTCTGCAAGGGTTTATGTGAAGAGTTGAGAAAACCTGAGATTAACATTAGAAGCATATGTTTTGTGTTGCCTTAATGATTAATAAAACAGTCATTTTCATTGTTTAGATGATACCATCGATAAATGTTATATTTTATTTACATTTGTAAAAAATTTAGGTAAATTGAATAAAAATGGCTCGTAGTTATTTTAAATTGCAGAATTCACACACAAAAAATTTGAGTTTATCTTCTTAGCGATGAAACAGTATATTCTCTGAGACATAATATTTTTTTTTTCAATACCAACCCCCAAATAAACTTTTTCTTCAAGATTAAGATTTTAGGAATGGCATTAAACTCAGATTATTGAAATGTTTCTGGCTCACCTTTCTTCCACACTCTGCACATATGAACATAAAAAGTAAACTTTTATTTAATTACATTGCCAGATAATGTGATTACTCATATAGGTGGGCAACTTCGTGGGCTTCAGTTTTATTTTTTTACACCCTTACTCACCTAGACATCACCTTCCTTTAAGTAATTAGGGTTTTATTTAGACAGTATAGTACTAGCCAAGTCTTTGTGAGGATATTCACATCCTCATTGCTAGTCCCATTGCTTTACTTTTTATCAAATTCATGGGTGTATAAATTAACGATTCCTAAATAAGATCCCCAATTAGTCATGTAAGAAGCAAAAAACCTGTTAGAAGAGTTGCTAATAACTGCATGTCTAAAAAGAAATATGTTAATACATATTATTAACGTATTTCACCATTATTTGGTGAAAACTCATTTAAAGCTATAGCATTTCAATCTCCACATTTTAAAGCAGGTTTCTAGTCAAACAAATGGTCTCAATCTCATAATGGTGCTTTCTATACATTTAACCAGTATAGGTATAGCGAGATAGAGATACAGGGGGAGAGAGAGTGTGATTACATAATCAAGTCGATGTTAGAACTAAGTATTTAATCTTTAGAATACTGTTGCTGTGGGCAAAGATCATTGACCAGGTTTACGGAGTAAAGGAGAGCTCTATTAAGTCATCCTGTGTTATTTTAGAATGGCAACAAGCTATAGATCGCCTGTGAAATCTTTACTTGATTCAAATGCTTAGAGCAGAGAAGGACAACATGGGAGGTTTGCAGCTTGGGGTCTCACTAAGATCTACAGATCTGGTGTCTGCCTTGATCGTTGCTGGAGCTGAGCCTCAGAGGCAGAGCAGCTGGCCCTGGCCTTCTAAGAGGCCTTGCCTGGGACCAGGCGAAGTTTACCTGCTCAATCCCAGAATGTCATCCTCGGGTGCATGTCTCCATCTGGGAGCATAATGGTAGAATTCTTCGCCCGTTGTCTAGTTCCTTATAAACTGTACCCACAGTGTAACAATAATGAATTCACTTAAGGATTTTCCCAAATTGGATAATCCCCCAATGTTGTATATTTCAGATGATCTTTTCTTCAGTTACAAACACTGAATACATAATATAGGATATTGATTTGATAAGACATTTAAAAACTGGTGACCCAGTTTGAGAGGATTTACTGCAGAGGGTTTCTGGCCAGGCCACACAAACATGGATGGCCAGATTTAGACAGAAAGCTACATAATTTCCTCATAAAAATGCATTCACACAGAGTTTCAGATGGCAACAACATAGAGTGCAGTAGCTGGCCATATTTTATTTAGAATATCTTTTGCATTATTTGTATAATCAAGGTTTTTTTCTTGGACACGACAAATCCTGATATAGCATCTCCCCCAAATGAAAGGACATAAATCACACACACGGAGAAACTGGTTCCAGATCCATTGGTTTCGGATGGACTGCCTGGATGTCCTCCCTGGCCAGAATGGTGCTGATGTTTATTTTATAGTTGCAATACCCTGCTCTCTATAACGCCTCCATCAGTTTTCATTTTGACATGGTTCAGAATTATTTTTTAAAACAAGAGACCCATAAGACAGAGATATTTATAGCAACTTAACTGGTTGCTTTTCTAAGGTGAGAGGCACAATATAACAACAAATGGATATTCTGATTTAAATGATTATTTATTAACATGGCTAATAATAACAAAAATAGCCATACCCATTAGTAAAGTCTTCAGATTTGAGGCACAGAATTTGGTTACCACATTTATATTAGACTTAACTACATTGCCCTCCTCAGATAAGGCTGACCCCGACAAAAATCCACTTAGCCACTGGCAATGTTAAGATTGGCTCTAGTGAACCTGCCCCTAAAAGCACGTGTTCAGGAAGCCACTGTCACTGATGGGACCTTTTGTAGGCTTGGCTTAATTGGGCTCCATTGAACTAGAATGAAGACTCACAGTTCTACAATAGGATCCATACTGCTGTTTTCACTGACCTATTTTTGTCTGTAAAAAAAACAGCCATAATTAACAACTCTACTGATCTCATCAGGAAAGTCTAAGTGTTAGGAAACTCTCCAATGCATGGTGACAGACAATAGCTTCCCAGATTCTGTCTTTCACGTGAAAGCTTGACTTTATCATTGACAATATATACAGGGTTGGGCAAAAGTAAGTTTACAGTTATTCATATGGAAAAATACAAACAAATAATAATTTAAGAATATACTTTCTCCTTTTGCAAACCCCCGTATACTGTCAGTCATTCTTGAAGGGACATTCTAAAATGGAACTCTTTTCATTTTGGAAGAAATATCTGCCAAATTTCCAAGTCAAACAATCATAGTTTATCTGTCAGTCATTCTTTCAATAGAAACGGTGTCCCGTGCAGCGAGAAGCAAGTAGGGCAGCTCACACATCCACACACACTCGCATGGAGACAGCCATCATACTTCAGGGTAGACGACCAGTGGTACTTAATGGGAAATATTTATTTCTTCACCCAGAATGTTAAAAAGAGTTATAACCAAAGGTCAAGGTTTAATGTAATGAGTAATTTTTAGTGTTTCATCAGAGACACTCTTGAATGAATCTGTTTTTTCCCCCCCTTTTGTTTATTTTCCTGTGATTGCCTAGCAGTGCAAGCCTTTCTTTATTTACAACCAGAAGTTTCACACAAAAAAATCAATATTCTTCATATAGAAATAACCTAAATGTACCTATATATGGGTATCAATACTGTATATTTTATTAGTCAGGATTATTCATATACAGTATATAAACTGTTTCTGCTATTCAGCATATCATATAGATTATTGAAAATCAACATCATTAAAATGTCTACATATTTAAGTATGAGAAAACATTTAATTACTTTGTGATGTTACTACTATCCTGTAATTTCAAAATAATTATAACTTGTCTGTGTTTTAGTTTGAAGTGACTTCATAATCTTAGAGACCTTCTTGTGTTAAATATAAACACACAGAATAAATTCAATATAATATACATCCAGAATGATTGGGGTGAATCATCCTCAAGGGTAATACACTCAGAAAAAATCTCAACATATCATGATGCCACTTGATCCAGAAATACCTGAAATCTTGATATTTCCAATTTTGATTTAAGCTGAAAATAATTTTATGATGACTTATGAAACGATGACATCAACACCGTCCCTGTTCAGGTGAACGTTCTGACTTTGGTTTTCTTTTCTCTCTTCTCTCACCAGGTTTGATAGCTGTTGTGATCTTTATCTTGCTGTGTATCACTGCCATAGCTGTTCGCATTTATCAGCAGAAAAGGTTATACAAAAGAAATGAAGCAAAAAGGTCAGAGAATGTAGACGGTGCCGAGGCTGTTTTGAAAAGCCAGCTTAATAGACAAAACGCAGTCAGTGAAAATCAGAAAGAATACTTCTTCTGATCGGCAGCCATGACTTAGCTTGCAATGACAATAGTGTGTTTCAACAGCCAGGGGCTCTAAGTGGACAAAACTGTGTTCTTGCATTGAACGTACAGGCGATGGATCTGCAGCACTGCCATCTCGCCATGCTCAGACTTGAGATGGCTCCAGGAGGCCTCGTCCAGTGACATGTTTTCCTAGCAGTCATGCTCTGTAACAGGGACTAGACCATGCTGTTCATTCCCAAATGTTCTGATGTGATCGAAATGCAAGTGTAACTGGCTTGATGACTGTGGTTTTTAACACTGTACCCCTGGTCTTTCAACCACGCGATCCATGAGTTTTGTTCAAGGTAAATATCAAAACTGGACTAGAATGGCCTTGCTTTATTTGAGAACATACGCTGTGTTTGCTTTAGTGTTCCCCTGGTGTTATTCATAGACCTGGAAATGCTTCTAAGATCCTGTTTGGCTGGTGTTTGCATCTTCAGTGGCCAAAAGCATTTAAACCCCTTTGCCTTTCTCTGTGTGACATTCAATACAATTGATCAGTAGCCTTGGAAGATGTTTTCTTGTCATTGGTTTGTTTGTATTGCTCTTTTCCTATTTGACTGTTCTTAATGATTTTTAATACATTAGGTTTCGAGTGTCAGAATTCAGCTCTGAATGTAGAATTCATATGTAATAAGACTCAGAAAGTGCATTGGTCATCGGTGTGTGATGTCTGACCTTTCATTTGCTATTCTTGTTTGGGAGAGTCAGTAGTTAAGACCTTGGGTAAGGCTAATTTCCCAAGGATTGTGAAATGTTGGTAACTAAAGTTGTTGATATAAAAACACAATCCTTAACACTGCCAAATAGTATCTTTATTTACAACTGTAATATATCAAATGAACTATACTGCCTAGAATATTTTCCCCAAATGTTACGTCTGTTTTCTTTATAGTTTCACACTTTTTTCCCCCTGAAGTTTATGACCAAGTTTTCTTTGATCTCCCTTCACTATATTTCACGGAGCATAGTCTTATGTATTAGGAAAAAAGAGACACTTAAGGGGAGAACTCCATTTCCCATTCTAAAATATGTACCCCTTTAGGCATACATTTTGCTGTGCACTGACCACCAGAACATACTTTTTGAAGTACAAGTAGAAACCATGTCCCCTTTCTGAAAAACTGGTAGTGATTAAAGTCTGCTCATTCTAAAGGATGATGACATACTATATGATATATACTAAGTAGGTTTCTCTAGTCACTTATCATTTACGACATTGGGGTACATTTATAACGAAGTACCAAAAGTCAGTATAGCCTACTAACTAGTACATTCTGACTAGGGGATACACACATACCAAAAGATTAGAGGATTAGCAATAATCTTCTGAAGCTGATACAATTTGAGGCCATGTAAACAAGGTATTTGCATGTAGCTATCTTTGAATTCCACAAACAAATAATAAAGGCACTTTGCTATTTATAATCACACTTTCCAGATGCCTACTAAGGAAACAAATTGGACTCCTTAGCTTGTCCATACCAGAATAATTTGGAAATATACCAATGAGGCATCTTTTTTTCCTTATAAAGCCTGCCTATCTTTTCTCATTGCACTATCTCTATTTTGATGTTTCTGTAAATGCCTGACTAACGTAAGGATATGAATGAATATAGTTCATGAAGGACCTATGTTGGCAAATGGCATATTTTTTATTTATTACTTGAAAGACTTGTTGTGGTGGCTAGGGAAGGCTCCGAGCATAGAAATAGTTTTTATTTGATGCAAAGCTGAATGCGGACATCAGAAGAGGCCTGAATCTTTTACAGATGTTTATGTTATTTAGTAGCAGCATTAACCTGGCTGGGAGCTGGAATGTAGACAGGTTTATGGATGGTGAAGCCGCATAGTGCTCTGTGGTCTGCACGGCTCAAAACTGCAACATTATGGCATCAAAATGCACCAATACATCACGCACCATGACTTTCATTTCCCGATCTGTGATCTTTGTTCCTTCTCCTTTTCTTAATAAAGTGCAGTTTTCAATTAAAATGCACAATATATTTTAAAAAGACATTGTACAAAAGTTTAAAATGAGAAAATTATACTGGATTTTTTTTTTCTTAAAGCAGTAAAAAGATGTGTAGATGTTTGCCTTCTCTACTGGTATGTGTGTTTTTTTGAAATTATTATGAATTTACAAAAGCTGTATTTATAATGTATTTTTTTTTCTTTTAAGTCGATTCAAAAATGAAAGGAAAAGGTTTACTGATTGTAACAAGTAAAGGAAATTAAACCAGACTTTCAGTTTTGCCAGAGAACTGTGACTTGTTAACAGTTGTTCCTTGAGAGATTATTACATATTTAAATTGGGGGATGTCCTTTTACTTCTGCAGAGAGCTTGGCCAATGAGCACTCACAGATGCACAGGATTATATGGGAAATCACAGCGTGGGGCAAAAGTAAGTTAACAGTTGTGAGTACACAAAACACAGTTTATTCTTGTATTATTATTTACTAATTGTTTTCCATAAGAGCAACTGTAAACCTAGCTTGCCTCATTCTGTATAGTGCCCTTTTCTATAATGCAAATGTTTAAAAAATTGTTGTGATTTCAAATGAAAACAATACCTAATTAACCTCTTTTTGAGAGGACTGCATTTTTCCACATCTCATTCAGTTCACATGTGCAATATGCAGAGTCAGGGTGGCCCATGAAATGGGGGTCATCCGTGGGAAATGGCATCTCCATTTTGTAGAAACAATGCCATGAAAGAGCCCTCGTCCACTCTAGGAAACAGCTCCATTTTTCTTTTCTATCTCACCCCAAGGGTCGCTCTTTGAAGCACACTGAATACACTCGTTATGTGGTAAATTAAAGACAACAAAAAGCAACCAGACAACCAACCAAACAGAAATCAATTATGTAGAATTCTCTTTCATTCGACAGCATTGTCCTTCACCTCTAACAAGCCTGGGACGCATCCGCCCCCAGCAGGTGGAGAGCACTGAGACATCCAGTGGTGCGGACAGCGCCCTCTGCAGATGGAGTGGCCGGGGTGCAGACACAGGTGAGGTTCCGGGGAGATGGGTGGAAGCCCGTAGGTGGTGAAGGTGGCACTGGAATTTCCTCTTCACAGTTTGCTGACCTTAGTGCCTCCAATTGACAAGAGCTCTGACAATTATTTAATGGAAGGATTTCGATATCCTCTTTGTCCAGAATGACCTACAGGTCTAGATCTTTTCTATTATAGATCTTTTAAAAATGAACACAAACCTTTATTTGATAGGTCATTGACATTAATAGATTTGTGTTTGTTTTTTAAAGAAATATTAAGTGTGTATTGTCCTTGATTCCAAGAGAGAGAATTTTAACTGGAGCACTTCGTTTCTTCCTGTTTTAAATTTATCTTTAATGTTGAAAGTATCCCAAATGTGCACCTTTTCCCCTATTGACCCCCTCCAGCCCGCAGCATATCCAGTCTTTATGAAATAGGTAGTGTGAGTTAGATCTGAGTGATGAGGCGTCAAGTATGATCCTTAGGATAAAAGAAAGATGACACATTTCATATCAAATCGTGTTCAGGTGGTTGTTTGACTCTCCCAGGGATGTTCAATATGTCCTGCTTGTTTTCTGCTTTTCCAAAGTTTGGAAGATGGAGAGTGGTAACGGGAAGAAAAAGTTGAGAAGCCAGCTCTGTGTGGAGATGCATGTGAGTGAGAACATGCATGCCTACAAGAAAACGAAATGAGCAGGAAGGGAACATGACACAGTTTGCATGTGATGTGGTAAGATTGTCTGGCTTTTGGTGATCTGTAGGTTCCAAAGTCCACTAGTCTTTGAAGCCTTGCAAATGGAAGTAAAGTGGAGTGGAAAACAGTCAGATCCATGATTATAATGGCTTCTCCAAAGAAATTGTTTTTTTTGTCCTTTTCTTTATAACATTGTGCTTAAATATATATTAAGTTACATGCATATGTTTTAAAATTCAAATAGTATGAGAAATCTTACAAAGAAAAATAGCTTTTCTATTACTATATCACCCCACCATTATTTTGAGATCTTTATTATTATTTTATCCTCACCTGAGGATATCCCCCCCCCCCCCCCCCCGTTAATATTCAGAGAGAGTGATAGGGGTGGATGACAGAAAGAGAGAGAAAAAACATCCGCACGAGAGAGAGATATTGATTGGTTGCCTCCCTCACATCTCAGGGCTGGAGATGAACTTGCAACAAAGGTATGTGACCTTGACAGCAAATTGAACCCACCACCATCCGGTCTACAGGCCAGCGCTTTAACCACTGAGCAACTGACCAGGGCTTGAGTCTTTTTAGCTGTGTCTTTTGAACTGTCTTCATGTTTCTTTTTTTTTTTTTTTTTTTAATATATTTTATTGATTTTGTACAGAGAGGAAGGGAGAGAGATAGAAAGCTAGAAACATCGATGAGAGAGAGTCATCGATCAGCTGCCTCTTGCACACCCCCTACTGGGGATATGCCCGCAACCAAGGTACATGCCCTTGACCGGAATCGAACCCGGGTCCCTTCAGTCCCCAAGCCGACGCTCTATCCATTGAGCCAAACCGGTCTCGGCTGTCTTCATGTTTCTTAATTATATTCTGTAACAGGCTGGGTTCCCTGGGGAGCAAACGCTGAGACAGATGATCATGAAAGATGTTTATTAGAGAGTACTAGAGATATCGGCACCTGTGGGGGAAGGGCGATGCAGGATGGGCAGCTGGAGAAGTTGTGCTGTGGTGCCATCCCCAGGGCTCAGCCCACCTGTGGGTATGGCCCCTGAGTTGACATCAGGGGGCTGGGCATTTATATGCTGTATCAACCAGATGGTGGATGTGACTGCCTGGTGAAGTGGGCATGAGCTTGGACAGACAGCTCTCTTCTGCTTAGGCAGTTCCTGAAGAGGGAGGACAATTCTTCTCAGCATCTGGGGAGAAGAAGTCATTTAGTCCTGAGCAGGGATCTGGGTAGCGCAGTACAGCATCCCTGGGTCCGGCCCTGTGCTGCTCAGATCGACTGCTTCCTATCGGCTCTGGAAGACACTCATCCATCAATCTGGTGAGAGGGAAGGAAGGTGTGACAGACCATAGACCCTGCCCCTGCTGGTGGTCTCTTGGCTGTAACTGGTTCTTGCCCTCTCCATCCTCAGCAGCCTATACAGACTCCCGTATATACAGCTGACAGCTCTGCCAAGAGTTTGAAGCCTTGACTACTCCACCTCTACTATACATTTGCATTTACAATTAAAATTGGTCAAAAGAGTATCTACATGCCCAACATGTTCTTCCTTTCTCCATAGTATAATAATAGCTCTATTATTATTATTGACAGGGACAATTACCCTAACAGAGCTTCCCACCTAACACTAACAGTGAAGGATGTGTGGGAAGAGCATGCATCCTTCCATATCAGACCATCAGAGGGCCCCTGTGGATCCTCCAAAGGTGATGTTGGTGGGCACCCAGGCAGGCAATAAAGGCAGCCCATAGCTGAAATGAGTAGTGATTCTATTCAAAAGTAGTCTGATAGGTTTGGAAAGGACACATTTTTCAGATCAATATCCACCTATTTTTTAAATTTCTTTATTGATTAAGGTGTTACATATGTGTCCTTATTCCTCCACTACTCCCCACCTCCTTATCCGCGATAATATGTTACTCCACAATAGCAAAGGTACCAACATCTGGCGTAGCAGCTGAACTGCGCCTGCTGCAGGCGACCCTCTTTGCCACAGGCTGGGTTCACAGGTTGCAGCGATAAGGTGTGGACAGTTTTGAGGCGCCATTAGTCTGCCTACGACTGTCATTTTCTTCATCCAACTAAACCCGATGTCCTTCACTCCAGATACGTTTTGTTTGAATTTCTCTACAGAGAAGCATGTACTCAGGTGCCTCTCTGTGCTTCTGTGTATGAAATGCTTCTGAAGCAACTGCCCGTCCCCATGTTTCCCGGGTTGAGTATATAACATCTGATCCGTTTCCTTATGAAAACTGGCCTCACTTCCCCTGTCTGGAGGAAATGCAGATACTAGTAGTCAGTGAGTCTAGCCAGAGTGGAGCTGGGCACTCCCATAGCCCCTGCTTTCCTGCCAACCCTTCTCCGTCTGAGAAAGGAGTGGAAATTCTCATCACTTGACTTGCTCAAGTGGCTTCAAATTGCCTTTCTGACAATTAGGGGCTCTGCCCATTATTTTTTGAAAAGTCATTAAATTATTAATACCGATTTTATCGAGCCATCAAGTAGGGAGACCGGTTCTCATTATAATTCTTTGCGTTATGCCAGACTCATTTGTGTTTGCTCTTAATAAAATAATTTTCTTATTCCATGTGCTGATACCAGACATGGCTTTATGCCCATTGAACTAACACATCTGCTTCCAAGCTGTTCTTATGAGAAACTTTCTAATAAAGTATGTTTCTGTGAATGAATTTATGTTTTCATTGAAAATACACTGTTAATAATGATTCGTATTTCTCTGTAGTCAAAGGAACAAATTAATTTTTTAATTGAGCAATGAAATGGCCTGTTTCTCTAAAATACGTTAGGAGAAGGTGGTCTCAAATGACTATGAGGACTGTGACTCTGCAATAATTTTTTTTTTCATTTTTTTAAAGATATTTGGTAACGGTTTCTTAGTAGAAACCTATAGCTCCAAATAGACTATTGTAGAATGGCACCTCCTGAAATAGGATTGTAGTTTTAGGGAAGGAAATAAGCCAAATATAACAAAAGCATTTATCATGTCAAAAAATACACTAAAACAAATACTTACTAAAGTAATTCAACTTTGAATCCTTATGTTAGGAACTATAGTAGTGATGGTGCTGCGGATGGTTTCTGAATGATGTCACATTTCTGTCCACTTATCCGTTTTCTGCCAGTAATTTGTATAAGAGAAAGAAAATATCTCATCTTCCCTGATGACTTTCTTTGTGGAAATTTAGTACAGTTTGGCCTCACTATAGTTAAAATTTCATGATATGGGAAATTGATATGGTGTTAAATGCCTTTAAAAAATATTTTCGAGCAATTTCTACTTTTCTACTGGCTTCTATTGTGAAATCAACGCTAAGCTATAGAATTTAAGCTATAAAATATAAACATAGTCAACCCTTGAAATCTTTCATTTGAAAGGAAACATTTTCCAAGATGTTACTAATACTGCACAGCACAGTCAGTGTGGCTTAGTAGTTGAGTGTCAACCTATGAACCAGTTGTTCATGGTTCGATTCCTGGTCATGGCACATGCCTGGGCTGTGGGCTCAATCCCCAGTGTGGGGTGTGCAAGAGGCAGCTGATC